GCTACAGAGTGGTTGTGTTAAGTGAATGTTTGTGTTTTATGCGTTCATTTCATGAATCGTAATAATGTAAAAGAAGAAGCTTTGCTCTTGCTAGCAACAGCTGAGGATGAAGATGATGCTGCAAGACGGGGATCTGTTTGGGTTCATGAAATAAATCTAAATATACATATATTTGGCGAGTACCATACCCTTATGCCGGATCTAAGGAAAGACGAAAGGTGGTTTTATATTTATTTGAGGATGACCATCGCATGTTTTGATGGACTGCTGGATTCCATAAAAGAGGAAATTCAAAAACAGCATCTTAACGTCTTGGCACCAAATGAGCTATGTAACCATGTTTTCCCGCGGCGGGACGAGCGGGAAAATCCAACATGTTTCAAACCGGCGGGACGATCTAACAACGCTGCGGGACGGCGGGAGCGGTACCGCTCTAGTGTAGGCGCTCACAACACCATGTGTTCTAAAATCCCGCGCGGGAATTCGTCCCGCCACCTTCCCGCTCCCGCCGCTTTCCCGCTTCGGTTTGGACGGGCCTTTAAACAATCAACTTTGGCAGTTTTTCTGCAAGATTCTGAGTTGAATTTGTGGGTCTAACCTCATAATCATAGTACAATTTAGATTAAGATTTTCTCTCTATCTCTCTGTCCCTCTAAATAGTATCAGGAAAAATGAATGACTGTTTCTGTTAGCGGTATTTAAGTGGATTTCTCCTATAAGGAAGGAGCTATTACAGTAGGTGGCATTCTAAGACCTTGACCCTGAACCGATGTAAGTTTTCTTAAGTCACCAGATGATTTCGGTCCGATTTTGATTAAATTTAGCATGTATAAAGCGAGCTAGCCAGCAAGATTAGGTCATAAGAACAGGTGTAATGAGGGTTTGTAATTTAATGAGAATTGGGGCTATAACATTTTACTCTTGCCCAATTTTCATTACAGCCATCGCGTGAAACTAAACAAATAATAAAATGTGTGTCCTGAAGCGTTGTAGTACGATTAAATGCGACGTAGGAAAATTCCCTAAAGTTTTTCTTATGGTGAAAAAGTAAATGGTTATAGTTTTTGTTTGTTTATGGATATATATTTTGTCTAATTTAGCAGATTTTTTATTCCTTACTGCCTACAATTTACATATAAAATAACTCGTTTTCTTCCCTCTCCCTGTAGCATCAAACCTGAGTTCTCGTAAACCTAATGTTATTTAAATAAGGAAAACCCCTAACATTTTTTATGAAATATTTTGGGAAAAATCAGGTAAATAGAAATTGGTTTATTATGTAGTTTTGATGCGGTGAGTTACTTAATAATAATTTCCTCATTGCTATGAATCCACAATAAACTAGCGTGTAACGGCAATTTAATTTATTCTCAGAGCGTAAAACGTTCTAGATAGCATAGGGTACTGCGTATTGAACTTTATGTTTTCGTAGGCGCATACATAAAGTTCATATTTTATGTAGGCGCATACAGTATGTTTTCGTTGTATTTTATTAATGGGAATGAATAAATAATAAAATATACCAAAGTTTATGCATTTAGGCAATCACTGGTATGGCGAAAAACATATTATAACTGATATTATTTTAAGAAATTTTTTTAGAAAAATGTGTAATCAAATAGTTTTGTAGTTTTGGTGAAACTACTTTTTTTTTTTTTTTTTTGCATGCCGTACACTTTAACAACCTTACTTCTTTTACGAAAGTGATCTTGCTTATGGACTAATTCATTCCATTAGCTATAATTACGCTGTTCTAGATATTCCATTTTAATGCTTTTTAAGCTGTTTGCAGTTTTAGAATAATAAAATAACTTAGTTCAACTAAGCCCCTGCACTACTACTAATGCTACTAATACCAATGCCGAATGACTCCTATTTATTTTAACACAACATTTTGAATGCTAATTCGAAAGGGCAGCTTATCGTAAAGCATATGTTATCTCCCAACCAACCATTATAGAATTCAAGTACAAGAGTATGGTACTTTGCGTCGGTTAGTCAATGGTTCTACATAGCAGCCGGACAGGTGCGGCGCATGACGAGTATTCTGTCACGAATGATGACGTCATATATCTCGTCAAAAATTGAAAATTTTAACGAAATAACACTAGATCATCATCCAAAACGACATTTGGGAAGTTCATTTGAGTTTTCATATTTTAGCCGTATGAGTATGAGTGATAAAGCCAATTTCGGTGCCACATTCAACGTGTTTGGCAAAATGTGATGGGTTCATTAGATAATGTTCTTCTTCATCTAGTCCATGTCTTCTACTTCAGTTCTCAAAGTATGTAATATAACCACGTTGGGGTGTCGATAATCCGTACAGCTTTTCTTAGAAAAAACCAACGTGTGTTTATAGGCTTGTTAAAACAGGCGCATTGAATGTTACGACTTGATTTGAACTTGATTTTTTCATGAAGAATGGAGTATTTTGTGTAAAACTTTGTCATTCATCAATAATTCGTACTGGTCTTTAGATCAACGACGAGGGAGAACACTTTTGGGAATTTAACTACAAGATAAACGTATGTTTTCAACATTTTCGTGTCATACTGGTAGTCGGTGTCGGCGAATTTCCCTGTGTCAAACAGTAGTTAAATAAAGTGTTTTTTTCATTGTACAGGGTGTGTTGCGCAACCCAAATTACAAATACCATAAGGCACTGTTTAGCGACAAAACGAGCTCACATTTTGGTTGATATGATTGTTGCATAGTTATCTAAGTAAAAAAATGAAAAAAGAAAAACGTGTATTTAACCCAAGAAAACACAAGAAATTTCAACTAAAACAGAGAGTAGTTATACAACAATACAATACAACATTTGTAAGTTCAAATTTGCCGTACTTATGGGATAGGCCTACATGGGCAGGTGCCTGTGCGTAGGCCTAATAAGCCCAGACTAATAAGGTATGTGAGTATTGCTAATAAGTCTCTACTTGGCGTTTTCGCAAGCTCTATTTGAGGATACAAAAACCCCATATTACGTCTTATTTACAATCAATTATCAATAACTAAACCTCATAAATATCTGGAACGATGTATATTAGCTGATAGGCAATGAAGTAAAGAAAACAGGGATACCATCGTATGAGCTGGTTTTGTTGTTAAAAGGTGTCTCACGGTAGTTGTAAATTTTGGGGGTTTGTTAAAAAACACCCCGTATTTGTAAGTTTCGTATTGATTCCAAAATTTGTAATTACAAAAACATTTCAGTAGGCTTACTTCACGGTAGCCTACCCATAATAATAATAAAAAAAAATTATTTGGTGTAAATGGTCAGTACTAGATATTTCGGTTAAATTTAATAGGCTTGTGTATTATCATATACTAGCAACATAGCCCGTCGTGGTTAAATACAACGGTCTTTAAGAAATTATGGTTATGAAATTTGCATACACTAGTTTACTCACTAATTATTGTTTTTTTAATAATTATTGGTACAGAATAACACGAAACACACAACATAAGAAAAAAAAACTTTAACCACAAATGCAAATTGTGAACAAATAGATGTGAACAAAGATAGATCAATGATATAACAATACTGTACAACAAACATCTGTTAAATTACTAAAACATGTTTCATATGATTAAATTATCCATAACGGCTCACCCTTTACTGCCTGTAATTAAAAAATTGAACTTTCATCGTTAATTTCAAATCTACATGGATAAAGATTTCCATTAACCTATTAATTAATAAAATCGGTCCAGTACCAACTGTAGATTTAGTTGTACAAAGATTAACAAAAATATCTGTAATTCAGTATTTTCTAACCACTATAAATGTGGAGGTTGCTTTACTTAATTGCAAATAACTTTTAATTGGTGAGGAAAGTGACCAAAGTAGATGTGATATTCTGAATGAAAATAAAAATGTCCTACAAATTACTACTATGTAATTCCTGGAAAATACTCAATAAAAGCAGCCAAAAGTTGGCTACAAATAGAAACTTGAAATAGAAACTTGAATGAAGCAGTTTTTAATGTAATTTTTGTTATTTTTACCTCAAATATTTAATAAAATTACTGTTTTATAATGATTTGCAAATCTACACGAATTAGGCTTTCCCATACTAACGACCCATAACGACCCATTAATTAACAAAATCGGTCTAGTAGAAGAGCTGTACAAAATTTAACAAAAATATCTCTAACTCATATTTTGTCAGCTGTATACATTAGAAGCTTGCAAATAACTTTAAAATGGCAAGGAATCGAATAAAGTGGAAGGTAAAATTATGAAAAAGAATAAAATTTCCTACAAATTGATACCATGCATGTCTTGAAAATACTCAAAAAAGGTAGCCGAAAGTTGCATTTAAATTAAAAATATGAAAACCCCTGTATTCAATGTATTTCTAATGGTACATTGTTAGGTAACTGTAGGAAAACATTTTTTTTTTAATTTTCCCACCATAAATCATAACAAAAACCAACTTTCATAATTATTTGCAAATCTACACAAATTAAACTTCCCAACGACCCATTAATTAGGCTAATAAAATCGGTCCAGTAGAACTCTTGATTTAGTTGTACAAGGATTTTTAAAACTGAATTATAAATTAGTATATTTTGGAACCTATTAAATTAATTTTGGAGTATGCCTATTTTTTTTTATAGGCTACACGATTGTATATTTCCTTTATATACCTTACATAATTATCACCTTGAACATGGTAGATAAAATAATTATTACAAGTGCATCTTGTGATGGTTCAACATAGAAGGATTTATTAATCGTTAGTTACATTAGTTACAATAGTAGTGGTGGGGATCACGGCCTTGTGAATATAGTTAACACCAAGGAGTATACAACTGACATATATAAATTGATACATTACAGGAACCAACAAATTGTTTTGCGACTAATACGATTACTCTACAAGGAGATTCGCCCCTTCAAGTGGCGACCGCCAAAGTATGTTGCACGCAGTGAGTGTGTGTGTGTGACGGTGACACGGTCTCACAGTTGTGTGTTGAGCGAGTCGCGGAGGTGTGTCGGCAAGCACCAATAGTAGTGGAGGGCTCGTCACCACCACTCTACCCAGCACAGCACCACACCAGTACACCAGTACCACTCTACCAGCACCAGCACCAGTCCAGTACACGTCTGTCTGTTGCAGGGATGGCCTCACTGTACTGGCGAGACTAGCACTTCACTACACACCAGTCTAACCTAACCTCCACATCGTACTGTGGTACTGTGCAGTGTAAGTGTACGTTAGTGTTCGCGATGATGCTCCGTGTATCACTCTTCCTCGCACTCGTTATCGTGGCCGCAACCCCCGCAGAATCCGAAAGACTCCCCCCTACATGTCAAAGGTAGGTGAAATCATAAGGGTTGGTTTTGGGTTTGTACTACTTGTATGAACAAATATTGTATCATTTACAATTTAACTTATGTTATCTCACTGTGATACTGGATAGAAATGTTATCATTTTATTAAGGGTGGTTTTTTTTTTGTAAATTGGTAGTTGTCTTTTGGAACATTTAAAATTTACGTCCTGTTACAACGAGCATCCATAAACGTTTAGTTTAGTATGATTGAAATTTAAAAATTTAGAATTTTTATTTTATAGAATTATAAAAAATTAGATATTTGGAAGTAATTTCAAAGATACATAGAACAATGAATAAAGTGGGTAAAAGTAATAAGTTTTTGTATTTTTAAAATTTAAACGCATTCAAATTTATGATGTTTTCTTGATTGTAATAATTATTCCAAAAAAACATATAATAGTAGCCTAAATTTCTTCAAAATGCACTAGTTTTTTATTTAAACGTCATCATATTATATAGCCTAACTTCTTAACGTTATCACCAAATCATTACGTTAGCTATACTGTAATGTGGGTGAAAGTACTTGGTACTGTGTCTATTGATAATCTTTTAATATATTCACTGGTATCTAGTGTAAGTTTTTTATATGTATAAAATTTTATTCCGTTAATAAATGTATGTAACTTGCATCACGTGTTTCGAATCTTGTAGGCCTACAAAATAATAGCTAAATGGCAAAAGAAAACTTTAATCGATACAATTATCGATAAGGCTGATAAAAATTATCTATATAACATAGTTCAACTATCTAGTTCTGTGGCACGTTTTGGTTGTAAAATAACTTATTATAGACACGTGAACACTCTAAGTATTAGTGTATAATTTATATTTTCCTGCTGTTCCTACCAACAATAAAGGCTAATCATAGGAAACTTTTTTCGCGTTTATTGCTCGATAAAAATATTTCGCAACTTAAATTTAAAACCTTTGTCGGTGTGACAATAAAGTATATTGCACATAATTTTCCAAAAATCAAAATTTTTTCTGGTAACTAATAAACGTAGTTATTTATAAAACTTGTATACACTTAAAGGCTTGTCAGCTCTGCCGCGTGCTTGGTTATATAAAAAAACCTTCGCAACCAAGAACTTTCGGCAGAGTCGTAATTGCTTTCCAGTATCTAGGCCCTACGCTGTGCACGAAGCTTTAACAATTCTTAAGCTGTACATAGAAAATTGAAATAAAAAAAATATTAAAAATTAACATCAGAGCAATTTCAATTTACAACACATGTAAATCATAAGACACTTGCAATATCAATTCACCGCAAATTAATTGTTATTATTAAATTGTAATAATAATTGAGTGTGATTCGATTTTTCGTCTACAGTTGGTACACTGGCTAATACTTAAATTCGCACGAATTAAAGGAAATGCAATCAGATAGTTTTACAATGACTAAAGCTGACTTGGTATTGAGTAATGTTGACAATAACATTCTATTCTCAGTAATACTATATTAATTTGGCTGTTATTTATATAATATGTAGATTTCTTTCAAATCTTGTACAGTCAGCAAAAAACACTGCACTTCTTTTGTTCTGTTATAAGCCTTTATTCAGTCGTTATTTGTACACTCCGAACTAAACCCTTAAAATAACGTTTCTCACTTAGTATTTTATACACGCACTGAATACTGTTCACATACACAGTCAAAATTCCGATATTTGTAACTACTCTTTAATAGGGGTTTCTGAAATTACTATTCGCACAGCTCTTTTTGCAAAATCATCAGTATCTCAAATATTGTTTTCTCGTCGATGGAATGAATCCGTTAGTATTGTGAGTTTTACGAACACTGCTTACTGTGTTTGTCTACAAAGATAACGAGACGTACGTCAATCTCCAAGAGATCTGATAACAATCTTATGCTGACAATTTCAAAAGTTAGTTTTTACCAAATCCGCATATTTAAGATCTGATAAATACAAACGAAAACAACTGATACCTTTAACGGATATTACAATTTAAGATAAATTCATTACTTCTATACAGTTATGAGTTTCGGAAAATCGAAGGATTTATATGGTCTGAATGTAATGAAGAAAAAGATGATTATTATTGATAGTCTTAAATTAAGGGACATTTTTGCAATGTTAAGGAATTTAGTATTTATACCCCTTCATTAATATTATAATTAAATCGATGTATCATTCGTTACTAAAACTATTTATTATCTAACCGTTACGTTTTGTAAAATTATATATCTTTTATAATCAAACACTCTTTATATACAAAATTGTAATTTAACACTTTGAACTTCGTGAAGTACTAAGTATTGAGTGGAAAATATTGTTATTTGTAAATGAAAGAATAAACTCGCCTTATTCAATTAATCGCTTAGACATGAATACAATATTGAATTACTTAGTTTAATTTTAAGGTGTAAAACTCATAACTTGTTAAATAAGCAATGAATGAAAATATCTTCGCCAACTACAAGTCGCTCTTCATCTCTGTTTACGCTAACAAGCCTGGTTATATCTTGTAACACCCATGGAAGGTGGAGTCGATAGTACACAATAAACTATCATATATCAATACATACATAAATACTGTCATTTCAAAAACACGAATCAATTCTTATATATAAACAAAATTTGTTAAGACTCAATATGAATTTGATTTATTTTAATTGTCAAAAATAATTTACCTAAATTTTAGACCTTGGGCTCGCTATGAGACAGGGAACATACACTCGAGTACGTCTAAACGGAACCGTGATATCAGGAATAAGGCTATTAAGCTTTTGTCAGATAATGTCTAAAAATACCATCGATCATGTAATTTAAGAAGGAATTGATCAATTTGATCCAATCCAATCCTTATTAAGTTGAATTGTTCATCGATAGATTTTGCTTTGACTTAGGGTATGTTTAAATCATCATTATTATTACCGTACTGTATTATTATCATAATTAATTTTTAGCAAACGTCATAAAGGCGCGTACTGTAAGCTCTATGTGAAGGCTGATTGTAGATTAGAGATGAGATCAGCTGATTCTCCAGCCAGGACCATTTACTGTATTTTAAGTTCTATCAACAACAGCTGAGTCCTGAGAACCATCAAAAAGCTACTGGATTTTCTTAGGATCGAACCGGCGACCTTTTGATTACCAAGTAAGCACTATAACAGCTACCTAATGATAAAAATGGATATTTAACTGTCTGATGACATTTATCTCCAGAATATTGAACTTTTGAATAAATAATGCACGAAGACTACAAAGTTGAGTATATTGCGACCATTGCGACTGTAGTTGGCTGGCTATCCGTCCAAGTCCAATCGCTTCACCATGGACAGTTTTGTTGTCCAACTGCCCATGGAGCCTGGGAATCGCTCGTCCTTGGATGAAGGAAGTGCTTCCTGCAGATCCTGTCATTATGGGCACTCGCCAGCCGTCAGTAGGCAGTAGTCATAGGCTGCTCCGTGGTCCGTGGTCTGATCCTGACCGTACTAAACACCGACCACTCGGCCGCGGCTCCGCGACGGTGTGAAAGTGAAATCGATCGTCATGTTGATTATATCTATTACCAGTTTTCTTTGGCTACAGGAATAATGAGTTAACTCATTTGAAGGGTTGGGAATTGAGATAAATTATGCTGGGTATTACTTCTCTATACGTGGTCTGTAAAGTTTAATCCATACGAGTAGTTTAGTTTTTCACAATCGATAATGTCAGATACGATCATGGTAAAACCTAAGTTTTCTCAAAAGGAAAGTCGTAGAAATTCCCAAAAAAATCCGTTACACATAGTTTAAACTCACAAAGCTAGAAAGTTAAGATTAGTGTGATTGAACCTTGTTAATAACAAGGTATAATTACAGAGTAAATCTAGGGACAATTGATGAAGGTCTAATACCAATCAAACCTCCAATCAAGTTTACAACAGCATTATTCTCTTCAAAACCTGTCTCCAACCATAATACGTATGGTTTTGCTTCTAAATATCCAGTTGTCAGCTGATTTTCAAGAATATACAAGTCGTATGACCAAGTCGCCAGCTAGTTTTCAAGAATGTCCAAGTACTATTTCCAAGTTACCAGCTGTGTTTCATATTATTAATATTAACTGGACTGGTATCGTATTCCCTCAAAGATATGAAATATTCCTTGTTCGTAAACTTATTTGTCTTGTATATCATGTGCACTGGGCGCCGGGTTCTCTCATTGTAGCATAGATTAAAGGAGTAGACAGTCTAACAACCATTACCGGGGTGCTACGTTTCAGTCTAACGTATCATATTGTTGTGTACTGACGATGATTGGGATTCACGCATGTAATACTGTATGCGGGTGTTGTATGTTATGGTATTATAGTATACTATAGGGTGGTTTACATAATGATTAACCAAACTATATTGCGGCACACACTCACTGATGTACTGATGTACTTGCAACAAAACGCAATGTAATTTTCTCCCTATATATTTGCTATAATACCGATACAATCTAGACAGTTTCATCTCCCGGGTGTTATCTTTGTACATATTACGAAACAAAATCGTGAATGAAGTTTGTTTATTCAAACATAGCGTATAGAAAGATATGCTTTATTATAAAGTCGAATAATAACAAGTTTTTGAAGACAAAATTTCCTCATAGTAAATTGTGGTAGTTACCTGAATTACACACAATTTAAAATGGTGAAAATTTCATCAAACTGTTCTACACACTGAAAAAAAACTTTCTGATTATATGATCAATTATTTCGATGATGGCAAATCGTTGTGATTAAATTAAAGTTGTATCGCCTATCTCTTGAGTAGCACTGTTGCCATACTACATACCATTACTACCATTTTGTTGGTAGTTACTTTTGGCACGGAGGCACAGTTTTACCACGCGTTTATACACGTGCACAGTTAATAGGCGCAACCGTCCATATTTATTGAGTTTCCACTCCAATTATTGAGAATGAAGTTATTTAAACGAGTTATTGGTGAAGTTACCCAACTGTGTTTTATGATACTATAAACG